GGATCCACTTCCCAAAAGCCGACTCTGTCAAGTAAATTCACCATCTTCGCCTGACTCTCAGCAAACAATGAAATATCACAATTATAAGCAAACTTCCTGAATGTTACGAGCGCCGCCATGTTGGTTTGCTTGTGTACCTCTAGAGAGGAACCGTGCTAGCGTGATGTGTAAATGGCTGTAAGGAACTGAGCTCTGCATGGGTAAAGCCGGGCTGTGCCACTTTCTGCCCTTTTCATGCCGACTTTCCAGTTGTGCGAGAATTTTTCACTCTGGCCGACTTTCAGCTTGATCGTGCGTTGTGTAGTGTACAGGGGGTAACGAGGGGCAATCAGCTTCTCCCGACCACCTCCCCATCAGGAATCGTGAGGTTGGGAGAAAATCAAACATGTTTGAAATTCAGTCTTGGGCAAATCGCTCAGTGTGCAAACAAGGATTCTTCTTCTACTTCCACTAAGATGTAAACACAGCAGCATGGCGGCGGTGCAATGAGTGAAATGGAGTTCTTTCTGTCAAATTGACAGACCATAGTAGCCACGTTTGCTCAGCCATGTCTTTGTCCAAATATGTCGCCTTTACTTTTTAGGGCTTTCAGCACAAAATTGCACAAATTGCCACAGCAGCGCGTTTCACTCTAGTGAGCTTCATGTTCCTCTTCTACTCATTTGGCTTCCGGATAGACGAGTCAGAATAGCGCCATCTCACTGCGGAGCTGAGTCCAACGTGGTTTTTAGACGTACAGAGTGAGCAGATAGATCGCATCAGAGCGTCGGGTCGCACAGTGAGAGAACATACATTGTGAGCTGTGAACTTTTAAACCCTGCGGTTTGGTCGTACAATGTGAGCTGTAGCTGCGTGCAACAATTGAAAAAAATCGTACAGTCTATTCCCGGCTTAACTGATCCAAGCTCGGTGCGGACTCTGCACAGTTAGCTTTTCAGGGTAGTGTAAATGGGGTAAATGAAAGAGGTTAGCGAAAGCTCTCCATGATGAGGTGTTATTTTTACAAGACGCCACCATTCTCATGCTTTTATTTGAAAAGCTCAACTGAATATATGAGGAGAAATGTTGTCAGAATGCCAAGTGGTCAGAAAATAATTAGTAACTGTTAAGTCTTAGTGTGAGATTCAAGCATCCAGCATCATGAGGTTAGCGAAACATCTTTTTTTATTGATTCTCTTCTAAAGAAATAAAAGCTAAAGGATAAAACATTGTTTAAAAAACAGTATCTTTAACCATTTTGCTACATTTTCCTCCCCTTTT